TCTGCCTGGCGCACGCTGCTCCGGGCTGAGCGCCCCGTCCTCGGCCTCCGCGTGCCAGGGTTCCCCAGGGACGAACCACGCTCAGGAAGCAGCAGGACGCGAGCGGGACAGCCGGAGCCCCTCCGCAAGGCGTCCTCGCCAGCATGCACAGGGGCCTCTGAGGGTCTCGCCGCCCTCCCTGCTCCCTGTGCAGCAGGGGAAGGCCTAGCAAGAATGGTCAGAATCAACTTTTTTCTTTTCTTTTTTAAAAAATATTTATTTATTATGTAAATATGACCTTAGATGGACAGAGTGAGAGAGAGAGGGAAAGTGAGAAAGCAAGCCGCCAGGTCCGGGACTCAAACCGCGGTTGACCACGTGGGAGTCCAGCGCCCTTAACCACCACGGCACCTGCCGGCTCCATAAAATCAACTTTTTCAAAACTCTGGAACTTAATCAAAGGCTTTCAGCATCCCAGGGAGTGTTTACCAAGAAAGCAAGTGAGTCTGCCAGAACAGCGGGTTTTCATGGTGCTCTAATGCTCCCTGTCCAGCCCAGTGTGGTCCTGGAAATAACAGCCCGCCCCGTGCTTCCCGTTCTTCCCATTCTTCCCGTTGCTCCCCGCAAGACCCACTTGCAGAACTGACTCAGCCTGGGAGGCCTTTTCCCTGAGGCCTCTTCCTGTTTGTGGAAGGCAATTACAGCCAAGTGCTGGAACTTTGCTACTCAGCAGGAGATGGAAGGCTTAAACTTACGCCTGGGGCTGGGAACCAGCAGTTAGCGTAATGACTATCCCACGTAGTCAACTGTGGTTTGAGTCCTGGACCCAGGCCGGGTGCGTGTGCGTCCCCAAGATCCGGAGAGGAGAATGGAGGAGAAGGGATTGCAGCGTGGCCATCCCCCACTGGGGGTGATTTCTCGCTTTCTGTCTCTCTCTCTCTCTCTCTGGTGAGCGCATGCACCCTGTAGCAAAAATGGCTCCAAAGGAAAAAAAGACCGGACTCCCCCATGGTCTCTGGGCTTCAAGTCCCAAGTCCCAGATGGGTGGCTTGAAAATCACCCCGGGGCACCTGTGCATGTGTGCCCAAGATCCCAAGATCCTGGAAAGAAAAGGGAGAGGGGGCTGTGGCATGGCCATCCCCTGAGGGAGTGATTTCTCACTTTCCTCTCACTGTGTCTCCCCCCACCCCACCCTACCCAGTGCACACACCCTAAGGCAAAAATACTCTAAATAAGAGACTACTTAAGCTTCAAAGAGCAAAGGAGTGAACCCAAAGTTTCAAGAATATTCCTTACGCGTGAGGCAGGTGGGGCCGTTCACGGTACTGGGAAGACCTGTAGGAGCCCTAAGCTCCCACGTAGCCGACCGTGGTTCAAGTCCCAGACCTCCTAGCAGCTTGCCTTCTCTCTCTCTTTCTCTGGTCAAATTAAAGTAAATAAAATTAAATAAAATAATTCTAAAAAAAAAAAAAAAGCTCAGCGTGTGTCTGTGTGCCCAAAATACTGAGAGTAAAAGGGATTATGGCATGGCCATCCCCCCTGGGCAGGTGATTTCTCACTTTTCCTTTCTCTGTTTCCAGGGATCACACAAGCCCTAAAGCAAACACCTGAAAACCAGTAGTTTCTGGCCTAGTGATTGAGGGAGATGAATCCTACGTGCCCAACTGTGGTTCAAATCCTGACCCTGGCAGAACATACTTGGGGTGTGTGTGTGTGTGTGTGTGTGTGCGTGCCCCAAACCCCAACAGGATGAGAAATGGAGAAGGGGCTGCAGTGTGGGGTGTGCCTCACTGGGGTGCTTTCTCCCTCTCCCTCTTTTTCTCTGTGTCTCTGGCAAGCACATGTGCCTGCTGGCAACTACAAAATAGAGGAACCAGCACACGGCATAATAGTTACGTCACTGAACTCCCACAGGGTGACTGCAGTTTGAGTCCTGGACCAGGTGGCTTCAAAGGCACACCAGGCGAGAGGATAATGGAGACGGGATCGTGGTATGGCCATCTTCCCTGGGTGGTGATTCCTCACTTTCTATCTCTCTCTCTGGTGAGTGCATGCACCTGATCACAAAATCTTTTAAGGGAACCAGCAGTTAGTGTAATGGCTATGTCGCTGGACTCCCACGTAGTCGACCGCGGTTCGCATCCCGGACCCGGTGGCTTAGAACTCACGCCGGGTGCGTGTGCGTGCGTGCCCAAGATCCCGCGAGGGGAATGGAGGAGAAGGGATTGCAGCGTGACCATCCCCCCGGGGGGTGATTGCTCGCTTTCTGTCTCTCTGTCTCTCTCTGTCTGGCTAGTGCACGCGCCCTATAGCGAAAAAAAACTCTCAAAAAAAAAAATCGCTCTCAAAAAAAAAAAAAAGGCGAGACAATAGGCCAGCCAGCGGTGCGGTGGTCACAGCTGGGCCTCAACATGACCTACTGGGCGGTTCTGATCCTAGGCCCAGAGGCTTGGGACACATGCTCGGCACAGAATCCCAACAGGACGAAGGGGTGGAGAAGGGTGTGACCATCTCATGGGGTACTTCTCTTTGGTCCTTGGCAAGTGTATGTGCCCCGAACATACACACGAACACTGGCAAAAAGACAACTCAGAATGGGAGAAAATATTTGCAAATCATGTCTTGAAAAGTTCTACTCTGGTGCCAACGGGGGGTGTGGAAGTCGAGGCTCTGGATTCCACATGGCCAGTTGTATGGTTCAAATTCCAGATTTGACAGCTTAGAAATGACTCTCAGCACATATGTGTGCATAGCCAGAATCCCAGGAGGATGGGGGAGAAGGGGTTGCACTGTGGCCATCCTTGGGGTGATGCTCACTCTCTCTCACTCACTGCCCCTGTCTCTCTCTCTCTCTTGCCCACTCCCCCTATCTTTCACTCTCTCTCACTAACTCCCCGTCTTTCTCTTGCTCACTCCCCCATCTCTCTCTCCTGCTCACTTCCCATCTCTCACTCCCTCTCGCTCACTTCCCCTCTGTCTCTCTCACTCACTCTCTCTCTGGCTAGAACATATACCCTAAAGTAAAAAAATGAAAACAAAAACCTCCTAGTATCCAGGCCAGTAGGTGGGAAGAAGACTAGTCTCGAACCTGGTGGCTTGAAAATCACACCAGACGTGTGTGTGTGTGTGTGTGTGTGTGTGTGCGTGCCCAAAATCCTGAGAGGAGACTGGAGGAGGGATTGTGGTGTGGCCATCCCACCTGAGGGTGGTTTCTTACTTTCCTTCTCTCTGTTTCTCAGGTAAGCACACTCACCCTATGGCAAACTATATATATATAAAAAGAAAGTTCCACCAGCCTGGTGTTGAAGGCAGCCAGGTCTCAGGACTGTGTCAAATCTGGATGCAGTGCCCTGAAGACACTGGGTGAGTGTGAGTGCTCTGCATCCCGGGAAGTGAGAGACGGATGAGAGACTGTGGCATGGCCACGCCCCACAGGGTGTGTCCCCCGCCCCCTCACACAGGCCTTCCAGTTCTCCAAGGCTGCTAGCTCCCGCCCGGGCCCTCAGCCCAGGTGGTGCCCACAGGTGGGCACAGAGGACAGGGAAAGGGAAGAGGGCGGGAGGCAGCAGCACTCTGGCTCATGTGGTGTGGCCCTTCCCCAGCCCTCCAGCTCCCAGGACCCTGGGTGCCATCGTGGGTGCCCAGTGCATTTCCAGTCTTGCAGGACATAGGCCACCTCCTCCAAGAGCCTCCCCTTCCTCCTAAGGACACCCCCTGGCCTCCTAATTTCTCTATTGAGGGTCCTAGACTGGCAGCTTAAGAATCACTCCAGGCGCAGGTGCATGTGTGCCGAGTCCCGGGAGGAAAGTGAAGGAGCAGGAACTGTGGTGTGGCAATCCTCCCAGGGGAGGGGATGCGATCTCACTCTCCCTCTCACTGTCTCTCTGGTGAGCACACACATCCTATGGCAGAAACCTTTAAAAGACAGACAATGTCTTCATGCACAGTGGGTCACGTGTGCTTATGCTAGGCTGAGAGGAGTGGGGAGGAGTGCTTGCCATGCTTCTGGCCCCTGTGGATCCCTCCTCCAGACCCTGGGCACTCTCGTGTGTCTGTGTTTTGGGTTGACCAGGTTGG